CCACCAAATGGATTTTTCTCCACCAAGGATATCAGTGCTGGTTGGATATCAAAATTGTTAGCGTTGATTGATGGTCTGACGATGCTAGAATTTGGCCTTGTGAACTGTGGAGCCAAGATTGACTCCATCAATTCCTCTTCCGGTGGTGGTAGATTATTAGCTGCCATCTCGGGTTCGACTTTTGGCTCTGAACTCGAGTATTCCTCTATCTTCCTTAGCTTGGTTAGCTTCCGGTTCTTCTTTGTAGTCTTCTCGATTTCTGGATCAAACTGTAAAGGTTCTTTGTTAGCTTTACCTCGCATAAAAGAGTGAAATCAATTAGTAACAACAAAAAAATAAAAATTTCAATCTCAAAGGTCGAAAGTTACAACTAATATTGACGTAATTAATCCCCGGCAACGACGCCAAAAACTTGTTGCGAAATTGGCAAGTATACCGTTCGTTTCAAGTAATAAAGTGATAAGTAGAGTATCGTTCCCACGAGGATTAATGCACCAAGTACTAGTTTAACTATTTCCCTTAAGTTGGAAAATAAAATTTGGATTGGTTTGTGAAAGAAATTGATTTTGGAATTCAAAACAGAATTTAAAAACAATTAAATTTAAAACAGAAAATTAATAACAATTAATTTTGAACGCATGCAAGGAAGGATCAAGAATGCAAGAAGTATTGATGAAAAATTTATAAAAAGGATGTAGCCAGGATGCACTCCACCTCCGATCCTCCCTTATATTCCTATATTGTATTTTATAATTAACTAATTCGTTTATTCAGACAATTCATTATTTCCCTATAAAATAGTTGAACCCTAATGTCTTAGTGATTTCAACCCTTTAATCCAATTAGAATCCTAATGTCTTAGTAATCCTTCTTGAATTAAGCATTAAGCGAATGAATTATGAGTCTGCAATTTATGTAAGTCTATGTCTAGATCATACACAAATTGTTATTTTATCCTTGTCCAGACTAAAACCCCAATATGTCTATTGTGAGTCCTAATCCTCAAAGCCCTATAATTTAGAGTGATCAGTTCTAAACAGGATATGAAAAATTAAACTAGGTAAAATAAAACAAACTAACTAATTAACTTATAAAATATGAATATAGAAATTATAAAGGATTCACATTGGGTCTGTGATCTCAACTACAAAAAGAAACTAGCCAGACATAGCTGGCTTAAATAAATTAAAATAATAAAAAGAATTCATAAAAGCAATAAAGAAAAATAAGAAGAAGAAGATGAAGAATCAATGGTCTTCGTTCTTCAACTCCGTCGAAATCCTGATCTCCAGCGTGAGCCTCCAAGAATTCTCTCCAGCCAAAGATTTTTTTCTCTGGGAGTCTAAGCCTTTATTTATAGACTTTTTGTCTTGCTCATAAATCTTGATTTAAATCACAACTTGTATTTGGGTCCAATCTGTCCTGATTCAGCCTAGATTTGTTACTGATTTGTTCTGCACCTCCCACGCTACTAGCGTGGTTCCCACGCTGATAGCGTGGGAGTTTTGTTCACATTACTGGAAGTTCACGCAACTAGCGTGGTTCCCACGCTGTCAGCGTGAGTTGCAAGAATGGTTGGCGCCACTAGCGTGAGATTCACGCTGTGAGCGTGGATGCCTCTGTATGAAAAGTTCCTTTGGCGCTACTAGCGCGGGTTCCACGCTAATAGTGTGGGACTTCGATTTCTTACTTCCAAATTTGGCTCCTTATTGTCCTGTTTTTCCTACAAAATCGAAAGAAAATCAGTTGTACAATTTTTGATTGAGATTTTAACAAATCAACAGTAAATATTTCCTTTTTATTCAAGATTAATCAATATTCTTTCTCTTTTTGGCTTAGATTTATATATATATATATATATATATATATATATATATATATATATATATATATATATATATATATATATGCTGGAGGCATATCAGTATGAAACTTGAGCTTCTTTTAAATTAAATTTTATTTGACTTATATGATATAATGCTTAAATTTGATTTTTTTTTAGGGTTGGTAATTGTAATGATTCATTAAAATATTAGTCATTTAGGTTTTATATTCATATTTTCTAATTATTGATTTTATTTGTATGTTTGGTCTCTATTATGTTTTTCTCGATGGAGAATTAGTCTCATTCTTCCTCCGGTGGCATAGCCCGATGCATCTGTTGTTCCAGTAAGGAAATAGTCTTTGGGATCGTACTTCGAGGACATGGTGGCCGAAGGAGGTTGAATGAGGGTTTCTACCAAAAAAAAAATTATTGAAATAATATTCTAGAAACTTAAAATTTTAATTGAAAACTTATTATGTCTATCGCTACAATCTTCATTTAAGATTAACTAATAACATTATTATTAGTCCAAAAGACTATAAATAATATCAATCTTTTACTATGAAGACCGACATATAAAGTGCTATCATATGAAAATTGTATCTCAACTCTTACATTTGTAGATCTAAGATTGCGTTTGATGTGTATTGAGGGACACAGCAAATAAAATATTACAACATAAGTGTTGGAGTCATAAACAATTTTGTATGTTGTTAACTGTTTGATGACTAATGAATGTGATTAAAAATTATGATATCTATGAATACAATAAAGCAAATTTTATTAGAATATTTTTTGCGAAGTGTGTGTGTGGGGAGGTTTATTAGTATTTTTACCTTTTTTGCTATATGACAAGATTTTGTAACTTGATTTAGTGTGTAACAAAATTTTAGAGATTTGTGTTGTCCTTTTGAGTTAAGTAGGAGCATGAATTCTATCCACAACGGAATTTTAATGTTTAGGGACAGGGACAAAATAGATATATAGTTTATGAAATTTTTAATAAGGTTTACATGGGGGGGGGGGGGGATCATAGAAGAGATAAGTGATAAAAATATTAAAAACATATAGTATAAGATCAACTATAATGGAGATATATGAACTTTACACTTTATTTAATTATCTATTCGTTTTCTTGTTTCTGTTTTAGTTTTTTCTTGTTATTATTTTGCTTTGTTAGTTGTTTATTTATTCTGTAAAGAAGCATCAAATATAAAATCTACCATATCGATGTAATTTAATGATTTTGAGAAATGAAGTAACGCATGAACCAAAACCAAAAATAGGGATGATACCTATGAATATTTGTGTTGTGTAGTATTGTGTCGTTCCAAATTGTTACTCTTATGAATAATTTGTTAATCTCAAAGTGTGTCACCAATTATGTGGATTGACACAACACAACACGATATGAATAACTATCAACTTTAAAGTGTTTCGCTTATTATACGAGTTGACATGACAAAATAAGACATAACATGATAGAATATGAATAAGATGTAAGAAAATTATTCTGAGTCAATTTCTTGTTTGAAGATTGACACACAACACGACACAAATTTAAAAACGGATTGATGTGAACACAAATATTTTGTATTGTGTTAAAGATTGTTAGCCCTATCAAATGATGGTTGCTCAATTGGCTCATCAGAGCTGAACAGATGAAGACGAGAATATATATTTGATCTTTCACAGTATCATTTTTGAAAGAAATTTAAAATCTTAATTCTAAATTCTCAAAAATACATGTGGCTTAAATTGTGCGGCTAACCAAAAGTATCAATGATATTTAAGAGTGGAGATATTCTAACTAACAAAAACTCTCACTACTAGCTCACTATCTATCACATCACCATTGGATGAAAGAGAGAGAATGTTAAAAAAAATTTGAAGAGAGAAAAAATCCTAATCTAATAATGATTAAATAGGTAATAAGTTAGTAGTGAAAAATTTTGATAGTTAGAATATCTGTTCTCGATATTTAAATACTTTAAAATGATTGTTATACCTATATAAGGTACCCGGTACGTACCTATCATTGTTGTTGTTTTTTTTTTTTTTTTTGGTACACCTAAATACATATTCAACACTTACTTGATCAGTAGGTATCTAATTACACTCAAGTAGAAGTCATTCTATGTAAACCATCAGATTTTCTTATTAAATTATTTGATTTTTTTTAATTCCACCCCTTCAAATTATATATTTTCTTTAAATATTTTTCCTTACTCGGCATACTTTATGAAGTTTTATTAAAATCTTGGAATGAGAGAGTTATAAAAATTATGGTTTTAAAAAAATGATTCAATCAATGAAAAATCCAACTTTGAGTACATTAAAAACTTAAAATGTTTTATTTTTTATGCAATATTTTCATTTTCAAATTCTTAACAAGCGTGACAAGAACATTGTTATCAATTTTTTAAAATTAAATTTATATATCTATATTTTCATGAGATATAGGGTCTTGATTATGTTCTGATTTTTTTTTTGTTAACTGTTTTGTAGAATAGTTACAGAAATAATTACTTTTTTTTGTTTTAAAAATTAAAAATCAAAACAAAAAACAAAAATAATCCAAATATGTTCTTTAAATTTGATTTTAGAAAAAAAAATAGTTATAGTTTTTTTTTAAAAATAATTTACAAAATAAATCTTACCAAACAATTTTTTTTTTCTTTTCTGAAACTACAAAACTATTTTTAAAAACAGAGCCATATTCTCTCCTGTTCTTGCTCTACAAAAGATGCACAAATTGTCAGTTCATGATGAGTTAACTTTGTAACTTGATAAAATTACTGTCCAATTGAATAAATTTTGATATTACTGGTGTACCAAATATTCAGTGTATCCTACCAATATTACATGTCAGTTAAATTTTTTTTTCTGTCAAATTTTTTTTCTCTCCTCTGATGTGTATTACTCTTATTGAGAAGATGCACTGAATATAAGTACAGCAATAATACCAAAGATTTATTCTCAATTATTCGTTTTGACTTCAAAACAAGTTGCATTGTTGGCAGTTTCACAAGTGGTGAACCTCACGAACCGTACGAGAAGAAACCTGATCCAACTAGTAACTTCACCCCTCATCATAGACACAGGTAGCTTTCACACGCTCTCCTTTTTTCGTGCGTAAACTGTTCCCGTAGGTCTCTTCCCTCTACACTGTACTCTGCTGTTACCAAGAACACCACATTCATTCACACTGTGCCATCTCTCATTCATCAACTTCACAATCACACCCTTCACCACCAACCAACCAACAAACAATAACACACTCACATTCCCCAGGTACTCCACATTTGCTTTTCTCACTTTCCTCGCAAATGGTTCTTCGTCTTATTCATTTTTTTTTTTAATGTTTTTCTGTTTTTTTAACCGATTCCTTAATTTTCACAAAATGGGTAATGGCCATCTTACGTTAATGTTTCCAAGAATGGCATGGCATCTTCTTTTTTAGTAATGATCAGACATTATTGATGGTCTTCGTGGCAGCTTAATGATTGTGAGATAATGGCTGAAGTGAAGTGTATTTGTGAATTTTTTTTTTTTTTTTTTTTGGGTTCAAGTTTGAATTTTTCCTTATGTATAGTGATTGATTGGGTTTCTGTAAGCGATGAGTGCAAATGGGTGTTGTTTGTTTCGTATTATGAGCTCGGATTAGGGTTTAGATTTGACATCTTTGTTTCTCTTTGGAACTGGGGTAATGTACTGAGGCTAGTATGGTGACACAAATAGGCTTTTTAATTCTTGTATTTTATTGAAATGTGGCTGTTTCCTGTTTGGTAATATGAAAGATTAAGCTGATCTCACTTCATTTTGAGAGTGTGTTGCTTTCTTGTCGTTTCCTATGTTACCTTTTTTCTCTGAATTGGATCATTTCTTTCTAAGTTTCTCACAACTCCCTCCCACGTATGGAGGGGACACTATCTTGAATTCTCTTGTTATGAGAATGAGATTATTTATCAATGCATGGTTATATTCAACACTAATTTCCATCAATGTTATGGGTCTGCATTAAACGTGTTGCTTTTCGTGCATTGAATTTTGTATGCAAAGGCAAAGCTGCTTTCATTTTATATGTACTTGTTATTTATTTCTATTACTTTTTTGAGTGTTCATAAAATTATACTCAAGCATAAAACTAGTTTAACCATGCTGATAGCCCTCCAACTTGGTAAAATTAAAATGCTTTCCTCTAGGATTGTGTTTCTAGTATTCAAATCCCCTCGCGGCTGTATTCTAGTTAGCAGTTATTTGTTAAGTGTTAGAATATACAAAAAATATCTCATAATATTTTCATTATATCTTGAAATAGTTTAGAGTATCTTATATAATGTAAAATAATTAATTGGTCTTCACAGTTTAAGCTTTTAGTTTGAAATGATGCTCTACATGGGATTGGAACCTCTTTATAGTGATTTCTCCCATCTCACTGGTGAGTCATACCAATTCTCCATGACTCCAAATCTATGAGAACTTTTTTGTTGTAGTGAGCCTTCGTTGCTAGACCCTAGTCTACCTTCATTGTGGCTCATCACTCTCGACCCATTGTCTGCACCTTCATTGTGCTTGAAGACCCATTGGTCACTTTCCTTGAAGATCCATTGCCCCTTCCTTCATTGCCGGCCACCATTCACACGTTTGACAACCATGCTTTGTGGAGCTCAGATTATATTAATTGGTTATTTTTCCTTTTTAAATGTTTCATTTGCAACAAGCTTAAAGTTTAATAAGCTTTAGCTTAAGGGGAATGTTAGAATATATGAAAATTATCTCACAATATCTTGATTCTATCTTATAATAGTATAGAGTATCTTATATGATCTCTTAGGAATATTTTCCTTGTTCTCTACTTTTTTCCCCTATCTATTTAGGATTTGGAGTCTAATATTAGTATAAATAGGAATTAATGTTTTGTAGTATGTATCACATCATAACACATCAAATCAATCCTAATTTCAGGTTATTCCGTCTTTATTATCTCTTTTCTTTCTTCTCTACCTAAATCCCTATGATTTCAACATTAAGGTGGAATTCTTCTGATTCTTACCCCTGCCTTTCCTTATCTAAATTTCCTTAGTCTTGTTATCAAAAAAAAAAATTTCCTTAGTCTTGTTGGTCGTGCATGTCCTACCAAGAATGCATGAATATTATATGCACGTATGCAGCACTGATATGATTCATATCTCCGTTCCACATTTTTTTGTGGTTTTGAATTTCTTGACATTGTAATCTTAAAAATGCTCTGTCTTGCTAAGATTTTGGGTATATTTTTATTGTTAATACTTGTTGTTTAAACTTTGAACTTATGATTAATCTCTGTTCTCTATAACAACAACAACAATATCCTTTTCCCACTAGGTGAAGTTAGCTACATGGATCAAATGACGCCATTGTGTTTGGTCAAAACCCAAGTCTTTGGAGAGGCCATTTAGATCTAAATGAGTTTGAATATCTAGTTGTTACACTTTTATCAGGTTTCAAATATTGATGGTTGGTTTTTGACAGATGGCCTCGCAAACAGCTACTCATCCAACTACTCCCAGTGCTCAAGTGGTTGGTAATGCATTTGTTGAGCAGTATTACCGTATTCTTCATCATTCACCAGATCTGGTCTATCGTTTTTATCAAGAAACTAGTGTGGTTAGTCGTCCGGATTCCAATGGTGTGATGACATCAGTTACAACCATGAAAGTAAGTTTCTTGATACCAAACTGGTGCCTTTATAACTTTTTTATTTTCTATAGAAGTTTCCTCAGGTGCCTTATTGAAAGAGAAGGAACATTGTATAATATAAAATAATACAATCATTTGATATCTATTATGATTCATTGCTATTGAATAACTAATGATTTAAACTGCTATGTGCTTGGACAATCTACTAGTCATTAATACACTGCAAATTCTTTTTTTTTCCATACATATTCATATTAAATGCTTTCTACTTCTATTTTCATGAGTTTTACAAAGTTGAGAAGGATGAATGAGATGTTTATCCATTTAGATTTTATTGTGCCTCTGTAAATTTTTAATAGGCATATCTCAGGCTCTAAGCTGATCTCTACAAGGGAAATCACTGTCTTTTTATGGTACAGGGCATTAATGAGAAGATTATTTCTCTAAATTACAAGGAATTTAAAGCAGAGATAAAGACTGCCGATGCACAAAAGTCGCACGAGCAAGGAGTGACTGTGCTGGTGACTGGATGTTTGACTGGCAAGGATAACTTGAGAAGAAATTTTGCGCAGTCATTCTTTCTTGCTCCGCAAGACAATGGCTATTTTGTTCTAAATGATGTTTTTAGGTATGTAGAAGACTGGGAACCATCGGAACTGCATCCAGTTAATGGAGATGGTGATGCAACTGCTGTTACTATAACCCCAGAACCAGGCAAGATTAATTCAAAAGAATTGTGTCTTCTGTTACAGAATTTATTTAGTAGTTGTATTCACGCTTTCCTCATTTCTTTACAGAACATAGTCATGTTTCTGATCCTTCTGCACCAGACCCTACAAATTCTCTTGTGAACGAGGGTCAAATGGTTGCTGAGAATACTTACGAATCATCTAGCAATCACGAGGGACAGATAGTTATTGAAAATGAAGACATTGTAGAACCACATTTTCAGTCAAATGGGAATGATGATTCTCAGGCCACAGAACTGGCTTCTTCAGCTCAGGAGGATGCTCCAAAGAAGTCTTATGCATCAATTGTGAGTCTTGACATAAAACATTTGCGTGCAAGCACTGTTCTTATTGAAATTTTGAAGTTTATTAGATTTGTTGTAGGTGAAAGTCCAAAAAGGGAGTTTGGGATCAGCTAAAGTCTATGTGCCAACTAATACTATAAAGACAGGGCCTAACAAAACTGAGAGTCAAGTAGTTGAGTCAGTAGATTCTGCTGCAGTCCATGAAGCAGGACCAGATAGTGTCGGCAACCCTGAAAGTAGTGATACTCACAAGGATGGTACATGTTCTCTTTTTCAGTTTTTATATATATTATGATTTGGTTTTGTCTTACAAAGTTTTGATAAAATGAATTTGAACAAAACACACCATTTAATTTTGTAAGGTCATGAAGTTAGCTGCTTGAAACTCAGCCAAAATATTTTGCGTAAACATATTTCTGCTTCTAATAAACATGTATTGCCTTCAACAGTTGAAGGACACTCCATTTACATTCGAAATTTGCCCTTAAATGTGTCGGTTGCTCAGTTGGAAGAGGAGTTTAAAAAATTTGGACCCATTAAGCCGGAAGGCATCCAAGTCAGAAATAATAAGGTAGTTATCAGGTCAATGAAACATTCAAATTACCCTTTTTTTCTTTTTTTTTTCAGTCCTAATGCAGTTTTGTTGGAAACACTGATTGTATTTGTCTTTGCAGCAGCAAGGATACTGTTTTGGCTTTGTTGAGTTCCTATCTCTAAATTCGATGAATAGTGCAATTCAGGTATGGTCCTCATTAGTGGATAGTTTATGTTCCTAGAATTTTGGCATTTGATCGTGCAAGTTAATTATTTTTATGTTGGAGCTGCTATCAAATGTGAGAGTAATTTTAAGTTGGATGCATGCAGTTATATAATTCATAAATCTGTCACTGCTCCCAATAGATGTCAAAGTTTTGGTATTATGAAAGTATATATCCTTCAAATTATACAAAATTTCTTATTTGAAACATGTCTTATTCTTGTTTACTTGACTCTTAATCTGCTCCATCTACCATAAGCCTACAACTGAGCTCCTTTATAGTTAACTCATATTCTGGGTAGTGCATTATTTCTACATTTTTATATTTTGTGGAAGAGTCAAAAGAGAAAATGGAAACTGTATCAGAGTTCAGACAATTGTTGAACAGTACACATCTGGGGAAGAGCTATGGTAATCTTCATATATGGATCCATTAAATTACAAATTAAAACAAAATCATAATCTAATTATTTTGCGCTGAAATGAAATTCTTGAAGTCTTTAAAATTCAATTTTAATTTCTTAAAACTGTAAGACGATGGCTCTGTATATTGAAATTATGCATTTGATCTCGATACAAATTGAATTCCACATTCATATTGTTCTTCTCGAGTGTGGATTAAATGTTCTCCAAATTGAAGTTCTATGTTAGGCTCTCCAGCTTTATAAGGTAAGAATTGTGAAAGAATGATAAAGGATAGGGAGAAGAGTGAAAGAGACGAGAGAAATAATGGTGTCTTGTACTCAAGAAAGAAGAAGATTAGAAGAGGGATTGTCCTCTTACAAGGGGTAGCGCCTTTCTCTGCTGAGTTTGGTTATCTTCCAAAAAGACGCCTTTCTGCAGTTTCCCCCTTGTTTATCTGCCTAACTGCCAAAATAACCACTTCTAATTAATCAACTAACTACAGTTTAATCCTCCTTGAATATGCCCTCCAAATTTTATTCTCTTTGTCATCCAGCAGTTCTTCAATCATTGGAATAGGGAACTTATTCGGGATAGTGGCTTTGTTCAAAGCACGGTATTTAATATAGAAATGCCAATTGCCATCCTTTTTCTCAACTAGAATTAGTGAACTGGAGTAAGGGCTTGTACTGGGTCTTTGTTCAAAGCACGGTATTTAATATAGAAATGCCAATTGCCATCCTTTTTCTCAACTAGAATTAGTGAACTGGAGTAAGGGCTTGTACTAGGTCTGCAAATTTTGGGCAAGAGCATCTCAGCCACCAGCTTTCTCAATCTCACTAAATGGGGGTAATTGTAAGGCCTGACATTAATGGGATTAGTACCAACCTTCATTGGAATTCAGTGATCCACTTCTCTATTCGGAGGCAATCATTCAGGGATTGAGAAAATGGGAGAGAATCTGGCTAGTAGTTGCTGCAGCTGGGATAGTTGTTGGAGTGAGAGGGATCCTGATTCAGCTTCCCCTTCCCCTATTGAGTCCGGTAACATGGCTGATAAAACAAGAATCATGGAAACAGATCTACTTCTAACACCTTCATTAGTGCCTTAGAGGATACCACAGCCTCGGATAAACTTGGGTACCCTCTTATGCTCACCTGCTGACCTTGGTGCAAGAAAGACTCAGATAAGGTCCTCTAATTAACCTTCACTTCTCCCAAGGTCTCCAACCAAGATACTCCCAAAATCAGATCCACCCCACCCAATTCTAACAGGTACAAGTCACTAGTGAGGGCATACTTTTCCAGTTGTACAGTTAACCCCTTACAGCACCCTTGAGATTCACTCCTATATCTGTCCCCTATACAAACCCCAAACGACGGTGTAGGAGATACCTCCTACCCTGCTTCTGCACCGCTGTCATCAGCACCAAGACAGGTACACCTCTAACTATTCTCATGGTCTTGGGTTGCGTCATCCCCGCTGCTGAGAATAAGGATAGGTCTAACCAGTCACATGACATTTCTGGGGTAGCTTCCACATCTCATGCCTTCTAGACTTGCGGTTCTATCATCCAGCCTTCCCTTTCCTCATCCATCCTTCTTCTTCTGCCAGGATGATGACTCTAATGATTTTCTGTGGGCATTTATGTGAAGGTCCAAATGGCAACTTGCAGTGGGAACAACGGCATTCCTCCCTTTACACATCATATTCGTGATTAGGAAGTTGGTGGGATCCTCTGTTCCTCGATCCTGCATAGCTATTACCAGCTGGTTTGGCCACAGCCTACAAAAGTTCTACTGCCCCCTGGTATGATCCTTTCTACTCTAATGGCCGGCCTCGCACCTCCCCAGTGATGATTCTGACAGCAAACTTGGTAGCCCAATTGTGGTGTTGCCCACTCGGACACAATGCTTCCACCTCCTTCATATCGACTTCCTGCACTTGGGGTTCTGAATTCTGAACTCCCAAACCCACTGGAAGCCTTCAACTCCTCCTCAACATCCCTAGCAAGATAAATGGTTGTCATGACCACTCTGGGATCATGGGGGTCTAACTCTGCATTTGACTTCCTGATGTAGACCACCCAGCTACTCCTCTGTGGTATGAGGCTTTCGCCACCAGTGCCACAAAATCTTGCACATATTCTTCCACCGACCCTGTTTGATGCAGAGTAGCGAGTCTTTCAAAACGTTTCCCAGGTTTCTTTCTTCGTAATGATGAATCATGGTTGTGGTGAATTCTTCCCAGTTCCATATTTGAAGTCTTTTTCCACAAGAATATGAACCAATGTGCCGCATTCCACTCCATGCTAATGAAAGCCAGTTGCACCTTCTCTGCTGGCTTAATATACTATATCTCAAAAAAATTCTCTACCCTTACTATTCAACCTCAAGGATCAGTCACTTCAAAGGTGGGTAGCTCTACCATCAGAGCCCAAAAACGGTTCTCTGAACCAGGGGAATTTGTCCCACTTTGCTTTGCTCCTCAATTTGCTTGACCAAGTGTGGCTGAATTTCCTCTCAGATGGGTTGATCTTTGGTACCTTCATCCTCAATTTCAAGACCTTGCTTTTACTTCCAATGACCCAGAAGCTGTTTGATTTATCAATACCCTCAGTGCTTTTCTTAATCACAGATAGATAACTGGATACCATGGTCACTGTTTGCTGGTCACCTCCTTGAAAAGTTCCACTGAGCTCTCCAAAGCTTCGAAATGCTTCTGGTGTGTCCATTTCACTAGTGAATCTGGCAGGTTGGACCAAATGTTAGGCTCTCCAGTTGTGTAAGGTAAGGATTGTGAAAGAATGAGCAAGGACAGGGAGAAGAGTGAAAGAGACGAGAGAAAGAAAGGTGTTCTGTACTCAAGAAAGAAGATTAAAAGAGGGATGATCCTCTTACTAGGGTGTAGCTCCTTTCTCCACTGAGAATGTCTCAGTTTACGTATTTTCCAAAAAGAGGCCTTTCTACAGTTTCCCCCCTTCTTTAACTCCCTATCTGCCAAAATAACCACTTGTAACTAACCCACTAACTACAATTTATTCCTCCTGGAATATATACCCTCCAAATTTTATTCTCTTTATTCTTATCGTGCCTAACATTCTCCCAATGTTAAGCTGAATTCATCTTCATAGTTTTCCCCTTCTGCTATTCAAGAGATGTTTCATCTTGCTCATTTTATCATTATTATTTTTCCCTTCACTTAATGAATGCGCTTTACTATGATATGTCATATAATGAGATCCAAAGTAGACAACCTAGTAGGCCTTGCTGATCTACATCAGAAGAGGGGTAAAGCAGAAATTATGATTATGTGAAAGTTACTTAATGTTAAAGAATTGTTGGTTTAGGGCTAGGGAAGATGCAAAAGAGAAAGACTGCAAACAATAACACTGAAGATATTATTGATAGATTTTAATGGGTTGATCAATACCTTAACCTAATACTCCTATTTATATTACTATATAGGGCAAGTACTAGCACGGCAAGTACAATATTGGAGTGACTTGATAATATTGGCCTTCCTGCTTGTCGCATAGTACCTGCAAATCTGTGATTTCCTCATTCTCCCCTTCCTAGTCCTTGAAGGGGAAAGAGTACTTTATTAGACCCAAAGGTCAATGGAATGAATTGCAGAGTGATTTTCTAGCCAAGTAAAGCAGTCGGCTGCTTGTAATTTGTATTGCCACATCATAATAGCTAATTCTATATTCTGTCTGAAGTTATTGTGTTTGATAAAACCTCCATTATCTTCCCTTTCTTATTAGTTACTTCTAATTTAATGTGAAAATCTTCAGATCTTTGTTCATTATTTAAGACAGTTAGTTTATTTTGTCAGGCTTCACCTATTACTGTTGGGGGATATCGAGCTGTAGTTGAGATAAAGAGAACCACTACTCGAGGTAATTTGAAGCTAACAACTAACAAGTACTAGTAAAACTGATGTCATTCATTCAGTAAAGGAGGAAAAACAGTGAATTAATTTTTATAATAAAAAGAGCTCCATTATAGTTGACAATTTTATTTGTTCTCTTTCAGTTGGCAATGGAACTAGCAGTACTGGAAGAGGTAGAATCCCAACTGGAAGGAGTGCATTTCGAAATGACTCTTTCAGGGGTCATGGGAATTATGCTGGTGGTCGGGGCTATGGTCGAAATGATTATGGAAACCATGGCGACTTTTCTGGTCGAGGTCGTGGTCCTGGCGGTCACGGAGAAGCTTATCACCAAGGGAGAGGGAGAGGTGGCCGGTCAAGTGCACAAAAACAAAATGCTGTGTCCAACTAAATGTTGGATGATTTTTGGGAGGTTCTTCTGAAACCATTTTCTTGGAAGGTTTATAAACATGGGAATCTGCTGAATTTTCTTGCTACCATCAACCTTCTAAAGTTTCTCATGCTACTTTCACTGCATTTGCACAGCTGTAGTATTTGTAGCTTTAGTTGTTATTGCTATGATCCTAGTGGTTTAGTGTAGCAATCAGGAATAGGTATACTCTCTTCTTTTTTTAAAAACGAAACAGACACCAAGACTGCAATTGACATTAGAGTAACCATCGATCCTTATTTATTATTTTTTTCTATGATGGAACATTTCTATATCCAAATTGAGATTCTAGTTTTAAAAGGGTCTTTGTTAGTTCCATTTTTGTTTGAGTTTTACTTGTAAAATTTAGGAATAACTTGGGATAACTGCAAGTTTGATTTGTTTGTGCCATCTGTGTTGGATGGCGCTGCAGGATGAATTAAATGGAAACTGGGAGTATAATGTAGAGCAAAACTATGTGTATTATATTGGCGAAGAACGAAGATAATGTGGCAAAATAGCGTGATCACTGTTTGCATTTTTATCTTTTTGAAGCTGTTTATTCCCAACTGGAGTTGAAAATGAGATAATAATGCAATATTAACAGGTTAGGTTGGATTTAAATATGTTATGTTTTATGCCTCTTTCATATCTCCCCGATTTAACGCTGGTAGCAAAAAATAAAGAAAATGTTGATTTCCATGAAAAGATATTCATGAAAGAGTATGAATTAACGTAATTGAGTAAATGAATATAATGAGAAGATTGCATGAAAACTTGTGTACAGTTACTTTTAGAATATTATTTCTTTGATCATCCATGTATTTGAACAAGTATATGTATGTATTTATTTTGATAATCAGCTTCTGTTGAGATATATAGTCCCACATTGGTTGAAGAGCAACTAATGTGGAGTTTATAAGGCCTTGGGCACTCTCACCCTTTGAGCTAACTTTTAAGGTGGTGTATCCCAAGGTTCTTTACATGGTATCAGAGCTTGAGGTTCGATCCTCACCGCCCCCACTTTAAAGTGGAAGCACAAAAAGGTAAACCAAAGATTGGGCCTGTTGCATAATCGGGACAGTGATCAAAATGCCACGCTTTGACAAAAAATTATCAGAATGTCACGCGAACAGTAAATTTTTCAAACTGCCACGCGGCATAATTCGCTACACAGTGTAGCGAATTACGTATGCAAGTAATTCGCTACACAGTGTAGCAAAATATGCCCCGTCAGAATGCACAGAACCAAAAAGTGCCATGTGTCAAAATTGTTGAAATTCGCTACCCTTGCATGCATAATTCGCTACACTGTGTAGCGAATTATGCCGCGTGGCAGTTTGGAAAATTTTACTGTTCGCGTGGCATTCTGGTAATTTTTTTGCCAAAACGTGGCAAAATGGTCACTCTCCCTGCATAATCCACGCTTCAAGCCAAGAGGGCTCTTGCGTGAGGGGGCGTGTTAAGATATATAGTCCCACATTGGTTGAAGAGCAACTAATGTGGAGTTTATAAGGCCTTGGGCACTCCCACCCTTTGAGCTAGCTCTCGATCCTGAGGGCTCTGCTTCCGCACCTACGAAACCTTTTTATTCTTTTTTACGTCTCTCGCTGCCATCAGCCACCACCGGAAAAAATTTTCCGGGGACCTCTTGGACCGAGAAGACCATTGCTTCACTGTTCCTCTTTCTTTTTTCTTGTCTATTACACAACAAGAAAAAAACGTTCACAGAATCAACGTTCAAAACTTAGAACCCCGTACAGAACCTGTTCATCGCGATTGGACCCTTTTTCCGGCGGATTCTTCACTCCGAACAGCCACAGAAACCATCGCGCTCGCCGGACGACCTTTGCCTGAAAAATCCAGCACCATCGGAGGTCAGACGCGCCTCCACGCGCCGCCCTTGTCTCTGCGCGTGAATCCCACGCGCCGCCAGCTTCACCGGCGCGTGACGGTGGTTATCGGCCGCGGACCACCACGGTTCTGATCGTCTCTCCAAGCCGGCTCTGGATCTGTGCTTTCCACTTTGATCGGACATCGTTTGGTATTTTTTCCGAATTTCTTGGCTTCTTGGAGTTTGTTCTTTTACCAATTTCTTGCCTCCGACCAGATCTGACGTTGTTTGGTATTTGTTCCGGCCACTGTGTTACTGTTTCGGCCACTGTGTTACTGTTCCGGTCAGATCTGACGTTGTTTAGTATTTGTTTGTGATTTTTTGGCTTCTTGGTGCTATTCTTTGACAAGTTTTGTGCAGTATGGCCTCTTCTCAAAGGAGTTCTTTTACAAAGTTTTCTGATGGTGCAACTTCTGAACCTAAGAGAGATGATCGATGGTGTTCTTATTGTAAAAGAACATGTCATATCAAGGATCTATGCTTTCGCCTCCATGGAAAGCAAACTGTCTTAGAAAAGATGAATTGGATGCATGGTCAACAGCATTTTACTTCCTCTAAAATAAATTCTGCATTTCGTCCAGATGAGTTGGAACGGCTCCGAACCCTCCTTGATTCTTTGAATAAGCCATCTGATACTAGTACTTTGACTATGACTGGTATGAGCTCCAAAACTTATTCTTTCATTTCTTCATGTAATGATTTTAAACATTCTTGGGTTGTTGATTCTGGTGCTACTGATCATATGGCTTGTTGTGCTGACTCCTTTACTTCTTATCATCCTACCATTGGAACTCATACAATAGCCGTAGCTGATGGCTCTCATACATCAGTTGCGGGTTCTGGTTACATAAACTTACAGCAGTCCTTACATCTTAAGGATGTTCTTCATGTTCCTAAACTCTCCACGAATCTTCTTTCGATTCATAAAATTACAAAAGATTTGAATTGTACTGTAACATTTTATCCTACCCATTGTGTTTTTCAGGATCTCGCCACGGGGAAGACGATTGGTAGTGCTAAAGAGCAAGGTGGGTTGTACTATCTGGTGTCACAATCTCCTGCAAATAAAGTAACAGATCACATCTTGATGTCTCATGGTCAATCAACTGCTGATTCTTTGATTTGGCTTCATCATAAGCGCTTAGGTCATCCTCCGTTTAGTTTACTCAAATCTTTATTTCCGTCATTGTTTTTGTCTAAGTCTGTTGAGTCTTTTCATTGTGATGTTTGTGAATTTGCTAAGCATCATCGTGTGTCTTTTCCTTCTAGTATTACTAAGAGTATTGAACCTTTTGATCTTATTCATTCTGATGTTTGGGGTCCCTCTAAAGTCCCTCATGCTTCTGGAAATAGATGATTTGTTTCTTTTATTGATGATTGCACTTGTGTAACTTGGGTGTACTTAATGCATGAAAAGTCTGAGGTACCACAACTGTTCTTTCAATTTTATAAAATGGTTGAGACCCAGTTTGGTAAAGAAATCAAGAGACTAAGAACAGATAATGGTACTGAATATGTTAATCACAGTTTTTCCCAATTTATAAGAAATAACGGTATGATTCATGAACTTACTTATGTTGACACCCCCCAACAGAATGAGGTTGCTGAAAGAAAAAATCGCCACCTTCTTGAAGTGGCTCGTGCATTAATGTTTAAGACACATGTACCCAAATACTATTGGGGAGATGCTATTCTTACTGCAGCATTCTTGATCAACCGTTTACCCACTCGGGTACTTGACCATGTAAGTCCTATTCACTCTATGACTTCTTTTTTCCCTTCTATTCCAATTATGAGTCTTCCTCCACGTGTGTTTGGGTGTGTTGCTTTTGTTCATGTTCATAAACATCATCGCAGTAAGTTGGACCCTAGGGCTATTAAATGTGTTTTTCTTGGTTATGCTCCTGATAAGAAGGGCTACAAGTGCTATCACCCTAGTAGTAGGAAATTTTTTGTTTCTATGGATGTTACATTTCAGGAATCTGAGTCTTTTTTCCAAGGTCCTCATCTTCAGGGGGAGAATCCTTCACCAGAAATCTCGTCACCTCCCTTCTTTGAGTTTGAATCTTCAGTGTCTACTCCTTTACCTGTGTCAGTGTATCCTCCTCTTGGTCCTGTTCCTCCTGTGTCTGTTCCTCCTGTGAGTAATCCTCCTGTGATTGATTCTCCTGTGATTGATACATCAATTACACCAGAGATACGGAAGATTATGACACCTGAGTTGGTATATCAAAAAAGGAAACAGCCAACATTGCCTCAGCAGCAACCTCAATCGTCTGAACCACTGGTAAGTCCTGAATCTCATATTTCTGATCATGATGTTAATACTTCTAATGACTTACCCATTACTACTGATTCTGATGATTTACCCATTGCTCTTAGAAAAGGAAAAAGAGCTTGTCCCAAGAAATCTTGTCCGCTTTGCCCCGCGCTACAAGAAAAATTCCTGCCGCGACCATAGTCGCGGCGTGTATAAGGGCTGAGATTGGAGTAGGCCCTTCCATAGCATCCGGTAACCATACATGAAGGGGGAATTGGGCAGATTTCGCAACCGAACCGCAAAATAAAAAGAGAGCACACAAAGTAACAAAAAAAATATGAACCTCACCTTTCGAAATCAAATTTTTGAATATTTGAAACAAATCTTGAAATTCCAAACTACCCGTTATCCAATAAAGACCTAAATTTCCTAATAATAAACCAAAATCCCCCACACGATTAGTTACAAACGCCTTTTGACAAGCATTTGCCGCAATAGGACGTGTGAACCAAAAACCTATTAATAGATAAGAACACACTCCAACCAATACCCAAAAGATATAAATGTTAAGAACCTTGGGATACACCACCCCAAAAGCTAGTTCAAAGGGTGGGAGTGCCCAAGGTCTTATAAAGGCCACATTAGTTGTACATACAACCAATGTGGAACTACATATCTCAACACGCCCCCTCACACAAGAGCTCATTGGACTTGAAGAGTGGACAATGCAACAGGCACAACCTACCTGTGCTAAGAAACTCCACAAGAGAAAGTGGGGGGCGGCGAGGCTCTGATATCATGTTAAGAACCTTGGGATACACCACCCCAAAAGCTAGCTCAAAGGGTGGGAGTGCCCAAGGTCTTATAAAGGCCACATTAGTTGCACATACAACCAATGTGGAACTATATATCTCAACACGCCCCCTCACACAAGAGTTCATTGGACTTGAAGAGTGGACAATGCAACAGGCCCAGCCTACCTGTGCTAATAAACTCCACGAGAGAAAGTGGGGCTTCATAAAAATTTGTTCATAAATCGTACTAAATAGTATTGTTTAAACTGA